GGTAACTGGCCTGAATAGTCTGCAAACTCCAGGAATTGCAGAAGTCCGCAGAGAGTTTGTGGATGTGTTTAGTTTAGAGCTTGGTTCATATAAGGGGCCTCCCATTGCCCTGCGGTTAAACCCAAACATCACACCAGTTAGGATTAAGCCTAGGAGGGTGCCCTTCGCCCTCAAGGGCAAGATTGATGCTGAGCTGGACAAGTTGCTCCAGCAAGGCATCTTGGAACCTGTGGACTCAAGTCCATGGGAAACCCCCATTGTAACGCCTTTAAAGGCTAACGGGGATGTCCGAATTTGCGCGGACTATAAGTGTACTCTGAACACAGCTTAGCAACAGCATGCATATCCTGTACCAGTAGTGAGTCATATTCTGGCCTCCCTTAAAGGGGGAAAACTGTTTGCAAAGCTTGATTTAGCACAGGCCTATCAACAGCTACCTGTTGATGAGGCAACTGCCGAGGCCCAAACAATAGTGATCCATAGGGGCGCTTTTCAGGTAAAAAGGTTACAATTTGGGGTGAATGTTGCTCCTGGCATATTCCAGAGCGTCATGGAGCGCACACTCAGGGGTATTCTGGGGGTTTGCCCCTACTTCGATGACGTCCTCATCGCAGGGGAGTCATCACAGAATTTGGCTGAAAGATTAAGGGCTGTGTTGCTGAGGTTCCACCAAGTGGGCCTCAAATTAAAAAAGGACAAATGTAAAATTGGAGTTACTTCCACAGAATTTTTAGGCTTTAAAATAGATGCTCAAGGCATCCACCCTGCAGAATTTAAATTGAAGGCCATTCAGGAGGACCCAAGTCCTAAGTCTAAAAGCGAGCTTCAGGCTTTCTTGGGACTTCTTAACTTCTATCATGCTTTTCTTCCCCATAAGGCTGCAGTGGCTGAGCCGTTACACCAGCTCTTAGACAAGCAAGCTCCATGGCAGTGGACTAAGGTCCATGACAGGAGTTTTACGGAGGTCAAGGCCTTGCTCTCATCAAATGCAGTATTAGCCCATTTTAATGAGCAACTGCCTGTATGCATCGCTTGTGATGCATCCCCTTATGGGGTGGGTGCAGTACTCAGTCACCTGAAGGCTGATGGGACACAAGTCCCTGTGGCTTACTACTCAAGAACTATGTCATCTGCAGAGCGGAATTACACTCAGATTGACAGGGAAGCCTTGGCAATAGTGGCTGGCATAAAGAAATTCCATGAATTCTTATATGGCCACCACTTCACGGTCTATACAGACCACAAGCCTTTGCTGGGGTTGTTTACAATGACCAAACAAACCCCTCACATCATATCCCCATGTATGTTGAGGTGGTCCATTTTTCTGTCAGCATATGACTACACGCTCATTCACAAACCTGGAAAAGAAATGGGCCATGCAGATGGCCTCAGTAGGCTACCTCTCACACAAATAGAGGCAGATCCTGCCCCTGCTGTTAATATTCTCTCTATTCAGGAACTGTCTGAATCTTTCCTCAATGCTAGGGACGTGGCTGCAGAAACTGCCACTGATCACACGCTCACACGCATGCTGACCTGGGTGTTGTCAGGATGGCCAGACACATGTCCAGATGCGACCTTTCAAAGCTTCTGGCAAAGGAGGCATGAACTGTCTACATTTAATGGGTGCCTGTTATGGAGTAGTAGAGTAGTTATCCCAGCCTCACTGAGGTCTAGAGTCTTGTCCTCTCTGCATGAGGGACATCCGGGCATTGTCCACATGAAAGCGCTTGCACGCAGCCATCTTTGGTGGCTTGGGCTTGATAAAGCTATCGAGGCCCAGGTGCATGGGTGCCAGGTGTGCCAACAGTCACAGCCTGAAATGCTTCAGGCCCCTGTACACAGGTGAAAGAAGACACAAACTCCTTGGTCAAGGGTACGTTTAGATTATGCTGGGCCCTTTCAGGGGCAATTCTTCCTTATTCTGATGGATAGCCATTCCAAGTGGCTAGAGGTTGTACCTGTCTCCTCCACTACTACTGCCAGGACCATCCAGGTGTTGAGAGGGATCTTCGCGACCCATGGACTTCCTGATGTCCTCGTTTCTGACAATGGTCCTCAATTTACTTCTTGTGAGTTCCAGGCTTTCCTTCAGGCCAACTTGATCAGGCACGCCACATCAGCTCCCTTCCACCCTTCCTCCAACGGGCAAGCTGAACGCATGGTGCGCACCACCAAAGCCGCACTCAAAAGAATCATGCACGGTAGCTGGCATCACAGGTTAGCAGATTTTCTTCTTGCACACCGCACCACACCATGCACTGCCACCGGAAAGAGCCCAGCTGAACTCTGCTGGGGTCGCTGCCTCATCACGAAGTTGGACAGACTGCACCCAGACCGAGTGGCTTCACAGGTGTCACAGCCGCGGGCACCTAGGAGACTTCAGGTGGGCGATCCGGTTTGGGCAAGGAACTATGGTCCTGGACATCTCTGGGTCCCTGCTGTCATCTGTAAGATCTCAGGACCGCTATCATACGAAGTGACCTTGGGAGACGGCCGCGTCCTGCGGTGTCACATAGACCAACTGCGCTGGCGGTTGGCCCCCGACCTTGCCGCCCCGGGTTCTGCTCTCGGGAGGGAGGGGGCCCAGGGACATGGTCACACTTCAGGTCAAAATCTTGGGACCCAGTCTTACTGTTCCTAGGAATGGCCGCAGGTTGCTAGTGATTCCCCAGTGGAGGAGCAAGGGCATCCTCACGATTCAGCTATTGCTCCGAACAGGGAGTCATGCGTATCAGCAAGTGCTCCAAATAAGAATTCATAAATTCAGGGGGGTGGCCTGCACATCCACAAGAGCGCCAAACGAATTCTCCTGAGATGGGATTTGCCATAGAGGCGGCTCCTGACTCTGGCACCTCGGCCACCTACACAGGGGACTGGAACTATTGAGGCACACCTGCAACTCAGGTCACGTCTGAGACTGGTCGCGGGCTCAAGGGACCTAGTTCCCAGGAGCAAGCCATGGTAGTGGGGGAGACCTCCGCTCCACCAGCGGTTTGGGGAATCTCCTCCTCCCCAAGGGGTCCTGGAGAGAGCTCAGCCAGTACGCCTCAACAGGGGTCACCTGCAAATTATGAGCATCAAAGTCCTGGTCTAGCGAGCCCACCCTTAAGTAAAAGTCCTGGTCTGCCTAGCCGGGCAGGTGAGCTGACAGGCCAGGCACCCTCCCTGACCTTGCATAGGTCGCAACGGGCTAAGGCCCCTCCTAAGCATCTGGAAGACTATGTGAGGTTTCTGTCATCACAAAGGAACCTTGCTGGTCCATAACAAGGTAATAGGGGACCTACGCTTGGTAAAAGATAGACACACTAAGTCTAAAATTAGAGAGCGGGTTGTTTAGCTAACTTTATTATTTATTAAAAGTGTTTGCCTGTGTGTGAGCAGGAAAATTCTTTTCTTTTCTTTTTTTTATTAGGAACAATTGTACTTGTGTGTTCCATCTAGGGGGGAGGGGTGTTGTGTCCTGGGCCTGATGAGGCAACTCAGCAGGCCAAGAAAAGCTGCCCGGGACCAGACTGGCTGGTGCCGGACGTATGCGCATGCGCAAGGCGCGAAGAAAGGATTTTCCCTATTGGCTTGACTGCCTGGGGGTTGGAAGACTATAAAAGGCCTGCGTGCCTGTTTGCAGAGTTGAGTGAAGTTAAGGAGCAAATAAAGAAGTTTGGTTACAACAATGTCTCGTGCTTCCATGCCTCGAGCCTCAAAACATAAAATAGAGAGCTATGGAAATGATCCTGAAGGGGTTATTCAGAAACCATCATAGAAACAACAAGGGCAGAACCATTTGTTGAACCCTGGCAGAGAAATTAATACTAGGAAGGAGCTCAGACTGGGTCCTCTTTGACTCAGAAGGTTATAAAAGGGAGGAAAGTCAGACTTGCAGGATTCTGCTACTATAGCATATGTCAATTATTTATAGTTCTAGTCTTCCTATGGAGTCAGTTTCTTGATCTGGTCTCTCTTATAGGGTTATCAAGTAGATCAAGTATGTATTAAAAAAACAAAATCACTATTTTTATAAGTGTATAAAACCATGTGTGTGGAGGTGCCATGTGGGTTAGGAGGGGTTTGCAGAGGTGCAATGCAAGTTGGAAAGATTATGTGGGAATGTGCAAGGGATGCCGTGCAGGTCAGGGAGGGCATGTGGAGATGTGTGAGGGGTCCCACACAGGTCAGGGAAGGCACATGGGTTGCAAGTGTGGGTCAGGAAGGGTGTGTAGGGATATGCAAAGGGTGCTGTGTGGGTTAGAGACAGCATTCAGTATTGCAATGTGGTCAGGAAGCATGCAGGAGTATGCGAGAGGTGCAGCACAGATCAGGCAGGGCACTCTGGGAAGCATGAGTAGCTGGTACAGTGCAAGTGAGGAGGGGCTGGGAAAGTTGCATGGGTGGAGAAGATTTATCTAAGGAACTTGTGACCCTTCCCCATTGCTGATGCTCCCTGTCATCTTCCACAAGCAAAAACTTTGCTTATGGAAAACTGACAGGGAACTTTGGAAAGGATGATCATGTGACCGTGACTGACACTGGCAGTGCGGTAGCACTGAAGCAGTAGCAGCAGAGTGGTGCTATGGTAGATAATGGATAGAAGTATTCTATGTGAAAAGCAAGAAATGTGATTTTTTATGTTATGGATCATATAACTGTTAAAGACATTGAAATAAATGATATTGTTTCTTTACTGATGTTTAATGTACCAGTTGCTTAGATCCTCAGATCTACTACAGGTTAGACCAGAAGTCCCCAATCTTTTGGGCACCAGGGACCGGTTAGATGGAGAGAGGTTTTTCTGTGGACCGGAGGGGACTGGTTGCTGGCATGCCACGGCCCGGTACTGGTCCACGGACTGGGAGTTCGGGACCCCTGGGTTAGACTGTCACAGTTGAGCTATTACATTTACTGCTTTCATTAAAACTGTATGCAAAGTGTGCTAATTAATGGAAAGCAAATCTAAAGTATATAATTATTACAAAATCACAGCATTACTATCTGTTTTGCAGCTTGCAGCTGTCATTGAGATGCTAGAAAATGCTTTCTATGGTTTAGACTTGCTAAAACTGCATTCTGTTACAACGAAACTTGTGGGTCGTGTGGAGAAACTGGAAGAGGTAAGATGAATTCCATCTCTTTTAGGGGTTATCTTAACCCTCTCTTTATGGCTGAGATGCAGAAATCAAACAAGCTTATAGCCTCATTACCGAAAAAACGTCCTCTGAATTATTATCTACATTGTGGACTGAAGAAATGATATACTGTATGTAAGATTATGCTGAGTTGGAGAATTATGTAGGTTAACATGTTGAGAATCAGAGCTATTAGTAATACAAACTACTGAAAGCTAGTGTGCAAAACAAAGTGGCTATATTTCATAGTCACAATATGGAATGTGATCAAGTCAAGGCTGACCACTTAAAAGTTCTTCTCCTTCAGTGTGAAAATTAAAACAGGTGACTATCTCTGTTTACTGTTTGGGTTTTTAAATATCAGAGCATCTGGAAATAATTCAGCAGGTGAAGTTTTGCTGACCACATGGTTATTAAAAGCATATTTGACAACTCTATAAATATGAAACAACTGTTTTTTCACCAAGTAAAAACCATACTGTTAATTATAGGCTGCTACAATCACCTGCATTTAATAATGGGAAAGCACTTCAAATCTGAGAACAAATTCTAATTTTACATCCTCTCATACCTTGGAGTGAGAATCTAAAAAAAGAAAGCACTAGAGGTCTGGAGGGCAGTTGGATGGTGACTAGACAGTGCATTTTAAAGAATGCATTTTGGGGTTATTTTTCCTCTTTGAGAGGATTTACCTTTTACAAAAAAGATGATCAAACATGTATGAGGGTAATTTGGAAATAAACCTCCGTTTGGTTATCAATGACAGACACTTGCAGATATAGAACTTTTATTATACACATTAGAAAACTACAACATTACATTACTTTTTGACATAATCGCTTTTCAAATTGAAGCACTTGTCATAACTTCTTACAAGGTTTGAAATTCCTTAGTAGTAGTCACTCGGCGCCAAATCTGGGCTAGGGGGGTGATCAAAAACATCCCAACGGAACTGCTTCAAAAGTTCTTGGGTGCGTCTAGTGGTGTGTGGACGAGCATTATCGTGAACCAACACCACAGCGGAAGTCACCATGTCCCGATGCTTGTTATGGATGGCTCGTCTGAGTTTTCATAAGATTTCACAGTAGACTTCTGAATTGATGGTCAAACCATGTTCCATGAACTTCACTAGCAGTACTCCTTTGGCATCTTCATATTTGGCAGGATTTTCTATGGCAGCACTTCCAGTGTGGTGTTGGTTCACAATAATGCTCACCCGCACATCGCTAGATGCACCCAAGAACTTTTGGAGCAGTTCTGTTGGGAATGTTTTGATCACCCTCTCTATAGCCCAGATTTGGCGCCGAGTGACTACTACTAAGGAATTTCAAACCTTGTAAGAAGTTATGTCAAAAAGTAATGTAATGTTGTAGTTTTCTAATGTGTATAATAAAAGTTCTGTATCTGTGAGTGTCTGTCACTGATAACCAAACGGAGGTTTATTTCCAACTTGCCCTCGTATAAGTTATGTGAGCTTTACAGTAGTCTTCTTTCATGATGAAAATTGGTGGAAAATGATTGACTGCTACTTTTCAGTGGTGCAATCATGGATGATAGCAGGACATAATAAAATGCATGATTTTTTCCATGCTGGGTATGCGCACACCTGCCTTTTAATTTATTTTGTCTTTATAGTTTTATTTGGACGTACTATGAGAACTAGGTAGCCTTTTGATATTTGGCATCTTTTGATGATTTGAATCATCTGGTTAAATTGAATTCTGGATACATTGAGCGGCAATTGGCTGTAAAGAGTATATGGGATATAAATTAAGATGTGAGCATAATGAAATCTCAATCCAATCTGTTATGGTGGAAATTGGCCTTGAACTTTTTTGCTAGCCTTCCCCAGTCTAGCATCTACCAGATATGTTGGACCAATTTCACAATTCACAGTCAGAAGTAATGGTCCATTTATCTGGAGGGCACCAGATTGGCAATTGCTGCAGTATTCAGAGATGTTGGCTACAGTTGGAAATGCTTGTGCCCAATTAAATGGGAGCACGTGTGTTTTCCCAGAGATGTCTGATCTAATCACAGTGACTCTCACCTTATTGTACACCTGGGTTGGGTTATTGTAATGTGTACTGCACTGTGCACAATTTGCTCTGAAAAGTATCTGAAAATTTATAATGGGTGAAGAATGTAGCAGCCAGATTGTTAACTGGAAATGACTTTGAGGATTATGTTACTCCATTATTAAAATAACTACACTGATATACATTCCATTTTTCAGTTTAATTCAAAGTGTTATTTATGCCCATTAAAGCCCAAAGCCACGGTGGAAAATTGCTGGCTTCCATATGAACCTACCTAGTTATTATGACCTTCTAGGAAGGCTTTTTAGCTAATTTCTGTGCTGAATAAAGTCTGCAGAATAGCTGACCTCTCACTGTGGAATTTTCTCCCCAAGTATGTTTATCTGGTCTCTGTGTGGATGGCGTTTGAGCCCTATGTGAACAACATCTTGCTTAAGTCCAGCCTTGGAGCTGTACAGTTTTATGCTTCCTTTCACTGCTTAAAAATATTTTGCTAATTTTCCTGTAAATGATGTTTGTTGATTTTTGATTTGAACTTTGATATTTTATTGTTTTAACTGTCATATTTGTATTTGTATTTACTCTTGCTGCTAGCTACAGACAAGACTCCTGGGAAAAGATGATGGCAAGGGTAGGAGATGAATTAGGTAGACCCATGGTCTGACTCTGTAAAATTCAGTTTCAACTTTATGGGCAGCTTTTGTAAACTCGTAGTCTAATAAAATTGAATTGTAACCTGGAGCTTTATCATAGGAAGTTGCCATATGCTGAACTGAAGCATCATACCCAGAGTAGTGGGTGGTCCATCACTGGAAGCCTTCAGGAAAAGATTGAACAGCCCTTTGTCCAGAACACAATAAGGTCTCCTGCCTTGGGCAGGGGTTTGGTCTCGAAGACCTCCGAGCCCTATGATTCTGTAAATTGTTAATAGTAAAATAAATGTAAATTTTAGATAGTTTAAATATTATTGTAAGTGTGAAATTTTTGTTCCTGAAAAGTGACGCTAACTGCAAGTTGTACTTTTTGGGCTAAGGGGAGCCAGAGACAGGGTGACTTCCAATAGAAAACAATTTTTTGGAGTACTGTCTGGGTTGGGAGCGGAATTTAAGGTGAGTCTTTTTGGGCACTGTTTTCCTCTTCAAACGAAAAGTGGCTTGTATATCAGCATGTTTATTTTTAAAAAAACAAACCAAAAACATGATATAGATTGTTTCATAGCTCAGTTGTTACAATGAGGAGGACCAGTACAGTATTCTTGTCTTACACTGCAGCTGGGGCTGAAGAGATATAGAGTTCCCTGAAGGGCTTGTTGTTTAAAGAACAGGCCAGATTTCAAGGAGAGAATCGCTGATGGTTTCTCAGGTGTTGTTTTTTTTTGTCCCCCAGTTCTCTTAAGAGTTAATTTTTGATTGTAGGATGGCTGATGTGGATTATCTGCATTTTTTTCACATCTAAAAGTAATTGTGCTGCTGCCTTCCATTAGAATTGAAACTGCAGCCTATAAAAGAAGCCATTTCATCGCATCAATCAGGTACGCCTGGTTCGCCAGTTGCGACCTTTTCTGGACTGGGATGCCTTGTGCACAGTTACTCACGCTCTTGTCACCTCCCGCCTGGACTACTGCAATGCTCTCTACATGGGGCTCCCCTTGAGGAGCACTCGGAGGGTCCAGTTAGTCCAGAATGCAGCCGCGCGAGCGGTGATGGGAGTGACTCGTCGCTCCCATGTAACGCCGCTGTTGCGCGAACTGCACTGGCTACCGGTGGCTTTTCGGGTGCGCTTCAAGGTGTTGATTATCATCTTTAAAGTGCGCCATGGCATCGGACCTGGTTATCTCCGAGACCGCCTTCTGCCACAGATTACCTCTCATCGGCCGATACGCTCCCACAGAGAGGGTCTCCTCAGGGTGCCGTCAGTCAGACAGTGCCGGCTGGCGACNAAGGGATATTTTAATTTGATTTTAATTTGATTTTAATTTGGTTTTTAACATAATTTTAAAAAGAAACGGCAAAAAAAATCAATATTTCATTTTAATTGTATTTTAAACTTAGTATTTTGTATGGTTTGTCTGTTTTTTAACTTGCTGTAAGCCGCCCTGAGTCCGCTAGGAGAAGGGCGGGGTATAAATTGAATAAAACCTAAAACCTAAAACCTAAAATACCCATCTCCACATAACAAAATAGAAAACACACACTGTCTTTCATGATAAAGAATCACTGTTGGTCTTTAAAATGCCACAAGGGTCCTTGATTGTTTTAAGGCCACAATCAAGTTTTTGCAGTTAAAGTATGTAGATGTTTAGTTATATATAATATAATGAGGTGTGTTTGAGCCTTCAGGTAATTCCACATAGTCATTGGGTTTACGCCTTTTAGTAGCAAACTTAATAGGACTTTATTTAATGTTGGGTAAATGTATTCATGGCTGAATTCCACCATCCCCCATTGCCAGCCAACTGGCCAAGGGGAGGGAGCAAAAATGAAAATCATCCCCACCCCCCAAATGGCCACTAGAGATGGGCAATGGGAAATCCCAGAAGGGGTTAAGCGAGAGATCCTGCCAATAGGAAATTACCACCAACCCTACAGTCCCAGGGGAAGTGCTGCAAAGTTGTTTGTGCTGCATTTCCTTTGTAGCAGGAGATGCGCCAACAGTTAATTAGCTTGGCTTCCTAGTCCCCATGACTAGTGTTGAAAGGATTTAGGAGTTATTGCACACTGAATTTAGGAAGCAACAGCATGCAGGGATGCTTCAGTTGTCAGGAATGCTATACCACATTCTGGTGTTGCATTTTTTGACCCATGGGAACAATTAAAGGAACTGTTGATAGATCTGGTCTCCTTTTAGAAATAGAGCTTGAGTCCTCTTGGAAATAATAGGCTGTGGTTACTGGTGTGAGCTTGAACTTGCAGGAAGCATGATAAAGGTTAGCTTTCTGGGTGCTGTACAGTATACTGTTTTGACAGTTATTGACTTCAAACTGCTATTGTTTGTATTGCAATTATAATTACAGATGATTATCTCCCATTTACTGCCACACTAGGGCAGGTCTAAGCATATATTGTATTGGGCTGCTGCTGTTACAATTTGAGCAGAAGGAAGATAATATATTAGCACATGTTGAGTGGAACTGAACTAGTCTTGCCTGCTTCATTTCAGTGATACCGGCTTCCCTAAATTTAGCATATTTGTGTATTTTTAAAACAGTAAAAGGAAAGTAATTATATGCCTCTTTTTTCTGGCTATTGACTGGATTGGGCCCTTTCCCCCTGATTCTGGAAATTCAAGGCAACTAACCATAGAAGGTAGAAGGAAAACCCAGAAATAAGAGGATCTTTGATATTACATTGCCTCCCTGCCTAACATGAATTATAGTATTGAATGTATTCCAGGTATAAATGATGTTTACTTTCTTACTTTTGAAACGTATTCCAGAAAATGTCTAGAAACGTTACCAAAGACAATAAACAGAAAAGGCAGAATGCAGAAGAAAGTTTTCAGGAGGTGGATATTGATAGGACAATTATTTCTCCCAACAACCATGCTGACAGCCAGAGTTCATTGCAGAGGGATGCTGCAGCAGCTTACACACTCACAGAGGTAAGGCACACAACTGAATCAGATTTCTATTCCACCCACTCTGAACATTAGAAATATCCCTTACAAATAAAATCAGAATTCTGTTGCTCTTATTTAAAAATTTACAGTTCTGTGCGGAGCCCACTAAGTCCAATTATAGACAATTTTTTTAAAGGGAGAAATTTGAGCAATAGGTAATTGGATTCTGTGCTTTTGAACCCACCCCCTTTGGGTTTCTGTAAGTAGATGATACTTTTGTGATTTAGAGTCAGTGTGAGAAAGAACACAATGAATTTCTAGACCATCTAAATCAGACATGTCAAACTCGTGATGTCACGTAACGTCGCGCGATATATCGGAACTTTTTTTCCCATTGCCGGCAATGGAGTGGGTGCGGTTTCATTGTGATACGTCGGCCCGTGGGCCGGCAGTTTGAGACCCCTGATCTAAATAATATCCTCTCTAATATTCAGTTTACTATGGAGGTGGTCAATATAGCCAACTTGCATTTTTGAATGTTCTGACCAGTCAAGGAAAAGTAGGGCATACATTATATTGAAGGCCAATGAACACACATTTCTAGATACCTAAAAACTCCAACCATCAGCCCCGCCAAAAGACAAGCATAATCAGAAATTTTAGTGCCTCTGCCAGATGTATCTGTGAGCTGGCAGATTATTAGATGAGTTGAGCCATCTTGCTAATGCTTACAGAATAATGGACATTCTTCCAGGGGAATCAGGCAAACCAAGTACTCAAGCAATAAAAATAACATTGAATATACATCTAAGGACAACCCACTCCCACTGGGAAATGTCCTTCTTTCTTATTCTGAGAAAGTTACAGATCAAACTAGTAAATCATTGAAAAGCATAACTTTTAAAATAACCATTTATAAACCAACAAAAAGTCCAAAAATTATTTCAGTCACTTCAGGAAAGTAGAGGTCTACTCTCGTCATTAGGAGTTTATTTTATCCCCTGCAATTTTTGCCAGGTTTATCTTGGATTTGCAAAACATGGTATTAATATCCAATTAAAATAACACGAAAGACATTGTTGATTAGAACAGCTTGACATATCAGAATATGCACTGCTACATAAAGACATAAAATCCAGTTTAAAGTCATACACAGGTATTAGTAATCACAATGTTGTATATGGTTACATAGAGAAGCCATTGTGATTCACAAATATTCTAACAACTTTAGCAAGTAGGAAGACAGTTGAAGCCTGGATTGTCGCTTCACACTGTATCAATATCAAACAACCTTTAATTAACCACCAACAAAGAGAATTTGCAGCAGCCTCTCCCAGAGAAACACATAGCTATAGTCTGTCTCAAAATCAGGCTAATCAACAATAAGTTTCCTTTCAAATTTCTTCACAAAAGGGAATTTGAAAAATCATCTAGATCAGTGATGGTGAACCTTTTAGAGACCGAGTGCCCAAAAACTGGCCCCGCCCCTGCTCCACCCCCTGCCCCGCCCCCGCTCCACCTCATCATGCCTGCCCGCAGGGCCAGGGCCCGCTGCAGATCGCCCAGGCAGCCCAGCAGCACCATGGCCACGCTCTCTGCCCACGCCCTGCAGCATCAACTGTGCGCGTTGGGGCGTGAGGGCAGAGCCTTGTCTACGCTGCCTGGCTGCCATGTCCTTGACTGCACTGCTCCGCGTGGGCCACGCTCAGAGGCGACTCTCCTCCAGGGAGGCTTCTGGTGAGGAGGGGGTCGTGGGCGGAGGCAAGGCTGGGGCAACAGCATGTGTGCCCACAGAGAGGGCTCCAAGTGCTGCCTCTGGCACCCGTGCCATAGGTTCGCCACCACTGACCTAGATAAGAATCAGTCAAGAATAACTTTTCTCTGATTTCCATGGAATAATCCAATTAGAGAGTAGTTTAGGATGAAAGATCAAACAGCAGAATTCTAATACCGAGCAGTTCACTTAGCTTTTGAAAATTTTGGTCACAGATGCTGTCAGTTTATCAGAAAATTAGACCACAGCCATTTAGTCCCCAAACCCTTTGATTTATTTATTTGTGATTCCAGACCTGTGAAACACAAATAGAAAATTTAAAATACATAAAAAACAAACCTAAAAATTAATAATGAAAAGAGGGCACCAACAAACATTAATATTTTTAGGGCATGTATGATATTGACAAGCTGCTTTTGCCCAGGAGGAGAATAGAATTTGTGTACCATCTTAAACTGGTAAAAATAATTTCTAATACTGATGCCATGTGGTTCTTAAAGCAACCTGCAACTGGCAAGTCAGAAGGATCAGCAACAAATTATACCCCACTCTTGCTTTAGTTGGATTTCATTTTATTTTATTTTTAAACATATTTTATTAATTTTTTACAATAACAATCTTTAGTGCTTCGTGAACAGTGTGTTGTCTAGGTTCATATATTTAAAACAATGATAATTAATTTCTACAATTAATATGTTAGTAATATATTTCTTGATCCTCTCTTCTTTCTGTAATATTCGCCTTTTGTCTACATTAAACAAATATAATTCTTAATATTTTCAGTACAAACCAAGTTGAATATAAATATTTTTAGTATTTATGCATGTAATAATAACACCAACATATAACATGTTTTTAATCAGCTTATTTCCATTGCATTTGTAAAAGTCATCTTATTAAATCATTATTATGTCCTGTTTTCAAGATTCTTATTGAAGCTTAGTTTTCCCTCAGTATTCAAACCACTCTTATCAGTCATAGTTTTCTCAAAATTCATTACCTTTAAATATCCAAACTTTTCATTTAAATAGACCCTCTCAATGTTTTAACATTTCATATATTCTAAAAGTATTATATTATTTATATATCTTATTTCTCTTACTATAGGGCCCCTTTACAAGCTTTATCTATTCTTTTGGCTATATTCCAACAATATTTAATCGTATAACACACCATCTAATAATCTTTCTCTAGGGCCTCTTTATATCCAAACTTTAATTCAAACAAATGCTTAGTCATATAATATTCCATCTGATAAATTGATCTTCTTCTTTTGCCAAATCGCTTTCCAGATCAGTAAGTTTAGCTTGCCAGGTTGTATTTTTGTAAGTGTTATTGGGGACTAAAAAAACAAAGCAAGTAAGGTATCAGATTTTTGTCTCCCACGTTTTGATGATTCATCTGACAGTCCTTTAATCCATTTCATTTGTTCTTCTTTTTTATCCTCAAATTTGTTTTGAAGTCCTGGAGGATAAGGCATCTTTTCTGTCTTCTTTATTATAGTAAGGTTTTGCAGATTTTGTTTGTTTGTATTAAATTGTAGTTTTCTTCATTTGTAGCTTTTCTATTTAAGTCACTTTCATTTATATTCTGTTATCTGATTTGTTTGTTCATTCTTTGTTGTCATTTTTTGAGTGTCATTAGTTGTAGGTTTAAGTTAGAGATATGTTCGTTTATATCAGTGGTTCTCAACCTTTTTAATGCCGCGACCCCATAATACAGTTCCCCATGTTGTGGTGGCCCCGGGTGCCAGGGGCGTGGCCAAGTGGGTGTGGCTGCCAAGTGGGCGTGGCCACCAAGTGGGCGTGGCCACCATGTTGTGGTGACCCCCCAACCATAAAATTATTTTCATTGCTATTTCATAACTGTAATTTTGCTACGTTATGAATCGCAATGTAAATATCTGATATGCAGGATGTATTTTCATTTTTACAAATTGAACATAATTAAAGCATAGTGATTATGCTTTCCTCTCTCTCTCTTTCCTCTCCCTCTCTTTCTCTTTCTCTCTTTCCTCTCTCTTTCCTCTCCCTCTCTCTTTCTCACTCTTTCTCTTTCCTCTCCCTCTTTCTCTTCCCTTTCTTTCCTTTCTCTCTTTCTATCTTTCCTCTCTCTCTTTCCTCTCCCTCTCTTTCTCTTCCCTTTCTTTCCTCTTTCTCTTTCTATCTTTCCTCTCCCTCTCTCCTCTCTTTCCTCTCCCTCTCTCTCTTTCTCTTTCCTCTTTCCTCTC